GTGAGACTCACCAAATGCAGAGCAGATCTGCATGAGTTTCTGCACACACAGTGCAGTGGGTTGTGCCGCAATTTTGCCGCATTTTTGATTTAAAAAAAAAATATATATATTTTTTTAGTTTAAAATGGGCTTCAGCGCGTTCCAGGGTGTTTGCATGTGTTTTTGATGCGTTTGCATGCGTTCCGGAGCAGGTAAAATAGGGCTTGCTGTAGTTTTTTTACGTGCTCTGGAACGGAACGCTGCGATGTGAACTGGAGCAAAGATACCATTGGAATACATTGGACGCAGTTTTGCTCCGGTCTGTAACTGCTCTGCTCCTGGAACGCGCTTGGTGTGAACAAGGCCTCACGTTCATGCAATTGCTGCTTCTCTGCCATCATCGGCTCTCTCCCTTTTCCTTTCAGCTTCTCAGAACACAAGTAGTCTCAGTGTTGTAAATCCCGGCACACACAGCACCAGTCCCACACTAAACTACGCTGCCTGTTCTCCACAACCTGCACTTGAGAGAGTGACAGGTCCTCTTCATATATATTTATCGCATACCTTTTTTTTTTTCTTATGTTGTTTATTCCGTAGAGCGCTGCACTTTAGACAGCGCATTATAAGTCAGTAATAATAATAATTGCAGTGCGTTTAATGCATAACAGCTCTTTTAGGAACCGAAGAGCCTCTCATCTCTGAGTGAAGATAAAACATAAAAGAATAATATGCGACTATTTTGTGGTACAAATACGTCAAACAGCTTTCAAGCTTTTTTTTTTAAACAATCAATTGATGAGAGTAAATCAGGAGTGTGTGCCATTTGTGGATCTAAATTAGGCCAAGATATAAAGCGCCATCCGAGCCTGAAACACCTATTTTAAAGCATAATTTAAAAGTCATCATTTTTAATGTGTGGAGAGGATGAGCCGATGTAAATGGATCTCTTTGTTCTAATGCGGAGTTATTGTGAACACGGCAAAGGAAAAATATACATATCATTTGATGAGGAGTTTATTTTCTAGCTGAGCTCCAGGTAAGCCAAGAACACAAGAGAAGACTCACAACCTGATGTGGTCAACAACAAAATGGCCACAACCCCTAGAGCCGTGGTGGCGAACCTTGGCACTCCAGCTGTGCCAAAACTACAAATCCCAACATGCATCTGCCTCTGGGAGTTATGCCTGTGGCTGTCAGAGCCTTGCAATGCCTCGTGGGATTTGTAGTTCCAAAACAGCTGGAGTGCCAAGGTTCGCCACCACTGCCCTAGAGCCTTGGTTCTCAACTGGTGGGTCGTGACCCCCGTGTTCAGTTGTGAGCTAAAGCAGAGACAGCGGCACTCCAAATTTGCAAAATACATCTATTTATTGACGTGCATCGTGGTAAAAAACAACGAACGTTTCGGGGTCACAAAGGATCCCCTTCATCAGGTAAAACATACGTCAGTAAATAGACGTATTTTGCAAATTTGGGGTGCCGGTGTCTCTGCTTTAGCTCACGATTGTTACGGCTGCCACCCGTTGACTACCGCAGCACCCAATTCTTGAAGGGATTCACGCGGTCAGGAGTGCGATGGAACCATGGACTACCCATGTTCAGTTGGTCACCGCGTGCCTTCCACTTTTCTAGGCGAGAGGCTCCTCAGCCTCCCCCTAGCGCAGTACTGGCCGTTCTCACACAGAACAGCCATTCAAAATATGCTGCCCGGCGCCGACTGTCAACTCGAGGTGGGCTGGAGCTGTGGCTGTGAGGGAGCTCCATCCACACATGCATTGCTTACAGCTCGATCACGTGCCCTGTAGAGGTGCCTGGACCAAAGTGACGTCACATTCTGGCTCCCGCCACCTCTACAGGGCGCACAAGGGAGCTGTACAAGCAACGCACATATGGATGGAGCTCCGTCACAGCACAGCAGCCCACACTGGACCCCAGGCTGAGGATCCACTCCATTTCTTGTAAGGTAGGGAGACTGGGTGGATCTTAAAAAAAAGAAAAAAACAAATTACAATTTTTTGGAGTGTGTATATGTGTGTGAGGCTGTGTGTGTATGTGTGTTTGTGTGGTTATGTGTGTGTGTGGTTATGTGTGTGTGTGTGTGTGTTTGTGTGTGTGTGTGTGGTTATGTGTGTGTGTGTGGTTATGTGTGTGTCTGTGGTTATGTGTGTGTGTGTGTGTGGTTATGTGTGTGTGAGACTGTGTCTGTGGTTATGTGTGTGAGACTGTGTCTGTGGTTATGTGTGTGAGACTGTGTCTGTGGTTATGTGTGTGTGAGGCTGTGTCTGTGGTTTTGTGTGTGTGGTTGTGTGTGTGTGGTTATGTGTGTGTGGTTATGTGTGTGTGTGTGTG